TGTCACCACAACTACAGAAGCAGCAGGAAAGGCTCCGTTCCACTGGCCAGGGAGAATCGAGAATGTTCCCCAGAGGAGGACTAGGACTAAGGGCTGGGTTGAATAGGAAACTGGACTTGAGTGGAGTGGAAGCGGGCCATTACAGTGACGACTCCACCTTTCAGACCGGTTTGCCACTTCGAGCTTCAAGCCAACCAGACTTCAAATTTCAGCGACCGACACTTGCCTCAAATGCCGCTGCCTACGCATCCGAGTACCGCCCACTGGGATATTATCCACACCTTTCTCGACATCAGAGTCCTACCAGGCCCACCTACCTTCCTCTAAGTCCTGCCCCTCTCCCAGAAAGACCCACTTCTTTATGTGTACTCGGCAGAGGTAGTTATAGTGATTCGGATTTAGACACGTTTTACCCCTATTTTCCTGCACTGGGTAAAGTGGTACGTTCTGGTCCGCTGGCACGGATGCGCTTTTCTTCTGGAAGCCTCCAACTTGATGAAGAGGATGGAGAGGAGGAGGACTTGGACTGCCCAAATGATGAGAAAAATACAACTCTCACCACTGTTAAGGTGATGAAGTTGTAGCTATGTGTAGAATCTTGAACCTTGGCCGTGATTGATGGAGCTCAACAAATAATTAAAACCGATAGGGCCTGCAGACAATGCACTCTCATAAGTAATGGTACAAATACTGACACTGGGGTGGTACCCTTTCCAAAGGTACACCTTTGTACCTTACTTAGCTTATTCATATAAGTACCTTAAAGGTACATTTTACCTAACTGAGGGGTGTCCAATCCTGCACTCTTAAAAATAAAGGTTCCAGAAGGGGGGTGGGTGCAGTGATGCCACAGAAAAAAATATTTTTGGTTCACCAAAGGTGCTTTCAGTGAACCATTCTTAGAACCATTTTTGTCTAAGTATGAAGAACATTTGAATAATCTAAAGAACGTTTTTCCACTAAAGAACCTTTTGTAGAATGGAAAGCTTCCATGGATATGAAAGGTTCTTCATAGAACCACAGATGCTAATAATGAACCTTTATTTTGTGGTGTGGAGGGCCACATTCCAGCAAAGTTATGTTCTAGCCCCAATTAAACACACCTGAACCAGCTAATCAAGATCTTTTGGATCACTAGAAACTTTCAGGCAGCTGAGTTGGAGCTAAACTTTGCAGGAAGGTGGCCATGCAGGAGCAGGATTGGACATCTCTTACCAAATGATACATATTAGTACCTTTTGAAAGGGCACTGCCCCAATGACAGCTTTTGTACTATTTTTTCTTTTTCTTTTCTGAGAGTGTGGGGTAGTAACAAAAACAGAGAGGGCACATAATTAATCTGGTGACATGAGGTAATATTACTGTAAATAATAATAATTTAAAAAAGATAAATATTTCATGTCTATTTGCAACTCTGATCTAAAGATATATTTTCTTGTAAGCTGCTTTGAATTTTTTTTAAAGGGATAGGTTACCCTGAAATGAAAATTCTGTTATCATTTACTCACCCCAATGTCATTCCAAACCTATATGACTTTCTTTCTTCTATGGAACAGAAAAAAGAAAAGGAAGAATGCATCATTCAGGACAGCTTTGTGAAATGGATCAAGTGAAAAGATCTGAGTGAAAAGACTAAACATATAAATCAGACATGAATAGAGTGGATAGGATATCCTTCAAAACTGTGTTCCAAGGATTTTGAAAACATGGGGGGGTGTAAACAGCGACTAAAGTGTCATTCTTTTAATTAGTTATTATTCCATAATATGTACTGAGTGAATAATCATTCTGTGGTGATTTAAAGTAAATCTACATTTTCAGGAAAAGTTAAGCAAAGTCCATATAATAATGTAACTAATAATTACTCTGTTAGCTGAAAATTGAAACAGATTTTCAGACGTTTGTGTGGCTGGAAAACATTAGAAATTATTTCTGTGTGCTATGTGTGCTACCGTAGTGATACGCATTTCAAAACATTTTTGCAAGGATGTGAAAATTTGTCAATAAATGAGGTATGTAATTTATTACAAGGTCATGCTCATTTAGCACTACGAGGTTCAGTTGAATGTTTGCACTTATTAAAGCACTTAGCACTCAACTTCTAACTGGCTACTAAGATAATCACTTGCACACTTTTAATGCCAAAAATCTCATCACGGTTTCATAATGGTATTATTATTTTTTTTTAGCATCATTCTTGTAGCTCAAACAGAAGCACATGAACTGATAAAATGTATAGACCTACCTACCTTGAATGCACTGCAAGTCGCATACATCAATTTAGCCAAAAAGAGCATCCGTGTTTGTCTCATTAAAGGGATAGTTACCCAAAAATGAAAATTCTGTCATCAGCAGATTTTCATACAGGTTTGGAACAACCTCAGGGTGAGTAAATGATGACAATTTTCATTTTTTTTGGGTGAACTATTCCTTCAAATGTTAACATTTGACTCACTGAATCGGTTAATAATTTGGAAACTTACCAAACAGATGAGTTTCACCTCATTACAGTACAACCTCAGGGTGAGTAAATTATGACTATTTTCATTTTTTTGTGTGAACTATTCCTTCAAATGTTAACATTTGACTCACTGAATCGGGTATAATTTGGAAACTTACCAAACAGATGAGTTTCACCTCATTACAGTATTTCATTACACTTGTCTGTTATTATAATTGTGCAAGCAGTCACACAAATATTTAGAGATTTTTTAAAACAATTTAGTCACAAAGGAACATACAAAAATGATCAACAACAAAATCAACAATGACAAGAGTAGAATCTGTTAGCAAAATCACTCAAATGTAGTGCAACAATATATATAGATATTTATATAACATTTTCAACAAAAATTAAAGAGTAAATGCACACTCATGTAAACAAATCATAAACTCTGCAAAAAATAAAAACTTACTGGTCATGTCTGCATTTCACAGAATAGGTACAGGTACTAGTATATCTATTACTATACTGTATATCTGTATCTTCATGAAGAGTGCTGTGCAAGGAGTTAATTTCAGCTGGAAACAAGCCTATGAGATTGGTCAGCCGGTATATTTACATCTGATTACACTTTCTGAATAAATGTGAAAAAATTGTACCTTTAAATAGTACAACAGCTTGTCACCTGGGCAGTACCCTTAAATGGACAACTCTGTACCTTATTTACCCCTTACCCCTATTAAAGGTTCTAGTATTACATTAAGGGTACATATTACTACTCTAAGGTACTAATGTGTATTTTTTTCAGCTAGATAAGGTATAATGTTGTCCCAGTGACAAGCTGCTGTACATGTTGTAAATGTACCATTTTTGCACCTTTTTTTCTGAAAGTATAAATATGAAGTTAATCACAGCGATTCTATTTGATGAGTATTTACATTCACTAGCATTTTTTAGTCGTCAAAATTGTAATCTCTGCCTGTACTACTCTACTCGGTAATGTTGAAGGTCTTTATAGCAAGGAAGAATATTTTAATGCAGCTATACAACCACAGACAGGCACAAATAATGAGCAGTGATGCCTGATTAAAAAAAAAAAGCATCAACAAAAGTAATATAAGGATTGTTAGAAATCTCAAAAATACCTGTAATATTGCATTGTGTCAGATGTTTGAACATTTTTAGTTAGTAAGCAACGAATAATTTGGTGCCTAAGCTGTATTTGAGGGTGCAGATATACAGTAAGACAAGCTGAATGCTACAGGAGGAAGAAAAGGAAGACAAAGGTTTGGTCAAACCCTGGGACACAAACATTATTTAAAAAAAAAACATCCAGTGAATAATATCTACGGAAAAGCAATAAATTACACTGACAGAACAATCAATTAATTGATGAGTCAGTCTATTACACGTTCCAATAATATGTGACGTTAAAGTGCACTAAAATGCACGGTCTAAAAAAAGATCAGCTTTTGCTTTTCCATTGTCTTTGAACCCTTCCAAATGCGTCAGTGTGGAGTTTTCATTTACTTTTTTTTTTTTGCTCATACCTTAAATTTGAGGTGCCAGGTCAGGGTACAATTTTCAACATAGCTAAAAGTTGCAGTTCCTTCATATATGAAAAAAAAAAAAAGTTTTATAAGTTATAACAACAGAGCACACTGTCAAGTGAGGCACTTACACTTTCTGTCAGCAATTCAGCCACAGTCTCGTTCTAACTAATGCTTCAACATATTTGTGTGACACCAGAGTGATGTCAGAGTCAATTCGTAGGGCAAAAATGGCCTGTTTCAGCAGTTACTGATTGTGCAACGACTGACAATGCTGAAATATTTATTTGTCTATGCCTTTTCTATTTGTGCAGTGTTTAGGAAGCAGATACCCATTAGGAATGCAGACAAATTGAGTTTGAAATGAGTTTAGAGAAGAATATATATATATATATATATATGGGTGAAAAGTGTCCAAGTCACACTTCACCCCAAAATAAAAAGGAATAATAATTATTATAATTTTTATTACTACTTTTTTTTTGCATTGATTTTGGGGTGAAATATGACTTGGATGGGTTTCCTGACAGGTCTTCACCCTTTTGGACAGAGCATCACACTATTAACATCTTTTCTCCTTATTCTTGTCTCTTACACTTCATCTCTACCTCCTCCTCATTCATCTCTCCTATTACGAGTAGCTGTGCAGCGGTTCACTGATTTTCATGCAGGCCCAGTGCAGAGCTCTGACCAAAGTGATCAGACTGTGCACTGTAATGTGCCCGGGGAAAAGAAGACATTTTAATTATTTATTAATAAACTAGTGCTTTCTCAGTCAGTGTCGACTGCAAAGATGAAGTTACCGAATGCCGACACTGACTCGCCCATCTCCACGTGGACGTGCCTTTAATAGCTTAGAGAGAAATGCTCCTTTTACTACGGACTACATAGTTAGAGAATATATATATATATATATATATATATGGGTGAAAAGTGTCCAAGTCACACTTCACCCCAAAATAAAAAGGAATAATAATTATTATAATTTTTATTACTACTTTTTTTTTGCATTGATTTTGGGGTGAAATATGACTTGGATGGGTTTCCTGACAGGTCTTCACCCTTTTGGACAGAGCATCACACTATTAACATCTTTTCTCCTTATTCTTGTCTCTTACACTTCATCTCTACCTCCTCCTCATTCATCTCTCCTATTACGAGTAGCTGTGCAGCGGTTCACTGATTTTCATGCAGGCCCAGTGCAGAGCTCTGACCAAAGTGATCAGCACCAGGAGAATGAAAAATACCCAGGATGCATAAATGCCCTTATAATTTGGTGCCTTCCACCAGGAGCCAGCCTACAAAGAGAGAAACAGAACAGAGAAAAGAGGATTCCTGGTATTGTGAAATGATGATGCTCTTTGAAATAATGAACTCTAAAATTATTTTATTCTTACAATCAATCCTGCAGTCATTATGATGAAGATCAAGCACAACAGGAAACATATCAAACTCCGCTTTCTAGGGTACCTCTGGCCAATCGATGAACTATATGGATGAAAAGAATGGAATTACATGCTATTATTCTACTTGTAGTGTATGTAACTTTGTGGTACTAAATAGAGGAAGGTCTATTGATAGTATTTAACATACACTTTTCTGCAGTGTGGACAGCGAGCCAATGTCCGATCTGTAAATTCTGTCCACTAAATCAACAACAGAGAGACACTGTCACAGCTACAGTATTAAGGCTATTATTAAGGCAAATTAATTGATAAAGAGCTCTGAAATATTGTAAATGTACATGAATATGAGAAGTTCTTACCAGAAAAGTGTTTCCACAGTGGCCACAGGAAACTCTGGCACCACTAGGCTGAGGATTCGGACTCCCAGCACCAGGATGAACTGGACCTAAATTGATAATTCGCTTACTAATCTCCAGCGCACGCACGCACGCACGCACGCACGCACACACGCACACACGCACACAC